GCACGTTTGAGAAGGCTTTATACACATCCTTCGAAGGACTAGCAGAGGCAGCGCCAGCCGAGGCCTAAACAATAGCATCTGCTCACCCTCTGGTCTTCCTTCAAGAACACTTCGTGCAACTTTCTTTGCAGAAACACCACTGAACTTCACATTGACTTTGAAATCTCTCCCACAAACTGCTGCTGCCCTGAACCACACAGCCTCCAGCTGGCTCTCCTGACTGTGCAGTCAGGACCACTCAGGCATGAGTTGGCTTCCTGTTATCAAAAATCGAAGTACGAGCAACCGTATGAAAACTAGACCCGCCAACCTTGGAGGAGGAGAGACAGAGAGGAAGATCTTCCGTCTGAAGATTCACTCCCCAAGTGCCTGCAACGGCCGGTGCTGTGCCGATTCAAAGCCAGGGAGCTACGGACTTTCCAAGGCTTTGGGCTGTCCTCAACTGCTTTACTAGGCCATAAGCAGGGAGCTGGATGGGAAGTGGAGCTGCCGGGATTAGAACCGGCGCCCATATTGTTTCCCAACGCGTTAAAGGTGAGGACTTTAACTGCTAGGCCACCGCGTCGGGCCTGAAGATGTTCTCTTGACTTAGAAGAGCAATAGCACCCACCAAAACCAAAGGCAAATGTGAAGAACATTCCAGTAAAATAACAATAGAAGACTCAATCAATGAACAACATTGCAAAAATGACAGGACTAAATTACCACCCATTCATACTAACCCTGAATGTAAACAGCTTTCACTCAATCAAACAAATTGGTAGACTGGATTAAAAAACAAGACCCATCTATTTGTTACCTACAGAGACATTTCTCACCAACAAAGATAAGCGAAAATTGTATCTCATGGATTTTGATTTTTTTTGTTAGTTTCATCTCTTCAAAACACTTTCTTCCTCACTGAATTCTTCACTGACTCATGGATCATACAGTAGCAACATTTTCTTCAAGAAGGTTCTTGATTTTCTTTTTCGTTTCTTCAGCAACACATTAGTCATTCAGTAGCATGTTACATAACTTAATGGTGTTGTTAATTTCTTTTGTTTTCCTTCCTGTTGATTTTGTATTGTGGCTTTTCATTCAGGTGGATGTACAGTAACTGTCATGGAGACTATCATATCTAGCAGCCCTAACTTACTTCCAGACAAAGATGGACTCCCAATGAAACTGTTTACTATATCTTTGACAATAGGATGCTGGACTCTCTGCCATTGTCCATGCCCACAATGATGGACATATGACTGTGTATGAAGAACTATACTATAGTAATGATATAGGGAAACTCTTTGGGGAGGGGATTTGAGGAGCAAGAAGGGGAAATTCCAGGGCCTATGGAACTGGAATTAATGAATGGAATATAAAATGATGATGATGATAATAACAATAATGATAATAATAATAAAGTTTTTTAAAAGGAAGAGGTAAGGACCCGGTTTGGTAGCCTAGCAGTGGAAGTCCTCGCCTTGCATGTACTGTGATTCCATACAAGTGCTGGTTCTAATCCTGGCAGCCCTGCTTCTCCTCCAGCTCTCTGCTTGTGACCTGGGAAAGCAGTTGAGTACGGCCTAAAGCCTTGGGACCCTGCACCCAGGTGGGAGACCCGGAAGAGCTCCTGGCTCCTGGCTTCGGATCAGCTCAGCTCCAGCCATTGTGGTCACTTGGGGAATGAACCAGCAGACAGAAGATCTTCCTCTCTGTCTCTCCTCCTTTCTATGCATCTGACTTTCCAATAGAAATGCATAAAATATTTTAAAAACAAGAGCGAGAGAGATGAACATAAAAGAAAAATCCTGTGTGATAAGCTCTGGAGAGGAAATAAGCAAGTGCTGTAGTCAAGAATGGGGCGGCGTGTGGGCAGGGGGTAAAGGCCAGACTGTTCCCGGCTGACAAAAAACAGCAGAGAAGCCTCTGAGAAGGTGGATTGTAAACTAGAACCTGGAGGGTATTTCAGGATACTTCTCAAGGTCACCAGCTTGGCCGCCTCGGTCACTCAGCTTCCAGAACATTTTTAGCATCGGAGAGCAGCCTCTGTGCCCCCTGATTGAATGCACGCTCATGAGCTTGGCCACGCGCTGCGTGCTCTGGGGGCAGGCAGCTGCCACCTCCCCAGCCATCACCATCCAGCTGACCCAGCAAGGGAGCAACCAGAGCAACTCATCCTGTTGATTCATTCTTCCTGCTGGTCCCGGGGGCTTGGAATGCTTTACATGCATTTCATGAGCAAGTTATTCCCCCGGCTGGAGGCAAGACAATGTTTACAATTGCGTCACACTTTCCCTGATACTTCCCCTGAGTGACTGAGCTCAACCTCCTCCTAGGTATCCCCAGTAGGGCAAAACACAGCGCCAGCCCTGTGGATCTTTCCGCAGCTTCTGCGATTCATGAGTCACACACGACGGCAGCTCACAGTTACTGGCACCAGCGGGGAAATCAGAACCAACCACCCAGCACCCTATTCAGAGAGCCCACGTCGCTAAGCCACGTCTCTGCTCAAATACAGTGTCTTTCTCACGCTCACATCCAGGGTAAGCAGTTTTTATCACATTATAACTGCTCTTGGGAAATCCTCCGCTGTATTGCTCAAGAGATTAAGATTAAATACAACTGTCTGACTGGCAGGTGGCACAGCAAACCCTTTCCAGTTCCAGCCACTTCCATGTTCCTGGGCCTGAAGTAATATCACTGGATGAGTTACTTGATTCCGAAACATCCTTTCTGAGCAACGAAGATCTTCCCCGCCCAGGAGGGAATGCAGGAAGTCCCGTCCAGACAGAGCAGGACTGCCTGACATCTGGGTGACAGTGATGGCGCAGGGGAGGTCAGCAGAAAGCAGGCCACTGCCTGGGTCACTAAACACAGCAGAGGTCATTGTCCTGTACCAACTTTACCTCCAGCCAAGCTCTGGAAATTTCAAATTCCATCCAAGGCGATGGTTCCCAAACAGAATCGCAGAGTCACCCCGGGGGATGCCTGCCTGTGCTGAGGGCAGGCGGGGGAATCCTTGAAAACCCTGATACCTTCCCACCGCCCACAGACGCTCACGAATGAGCGGCAGGCCACCTGGACACGTGCTCTTGGAAGAAACCTCAGGTCACAGGCTGCACAGGCAGCACAGGTCTGCCAGCTCTGCTCTGAAGCTCTGGGACTACGCAGTCACGGATTTCCTTCTGTGCCAGAGGTGGACAAGAGAAACAGCTAAGGTCGAACACCTCGGCCCTCCCAGTTGCTGACGGGCAGGCTCTGGGTCCGCGCTGTCCGGGGAGCTGCCGGGGCTGATGACACTGGGCGGTCCTGAGAGCCGTGTGCCCGCGCAGGAACCACATTCCCTGTGCAAGAGCTACCAATGCCACTATCTCCCCCACTGAACTCAGGCTTGGCATCCCCCCCCAATTAAAAAAAAAAACCAATAAACACCCCCCATGCAGGCAGTAACGGGGCGGAGACCAAGCGGAGAGAGAAGCGAGAAACGCCAGTCGGGCCCTCCCCACATTCCACTGAGCGGCACACAATTTCCTTAGAATGCGTCCTGGACGCGGCTCAGCCTTCGAGCTTGGTTCCAGTCGGAACCCCTGGCAGCGCAAGCAGCCGGGTTGCCAGGCCCTGGGCCTCCCGTCCCTGTGAGACTCGGTTTCATGAATTTCCCAGGAGGATTTCTGCACCACTTGCTGCCAGTCCCCCGCCCCATCTCCCTTCCCACATGCCTCCCCACCCCACCCCTGCTCCCACCCCCTACAGCCTCCCTCCCCACCTCCACCAAACCCTCCGAGAGCCAGGTGGAGTCCGAGACTAAGAGAGATGGGAAGGCACCCAGGGTCGTGCCACGGGGAGCGCTCCAGGCCATTGCAGGCTGTTGGAGCCAGCTGGTGGCTCTGCCTGCCCTCTCACGGGGACGGAGCCCGCAGAGACCACCCGCCCGGCGGGCACGCCCAGGACGCCCCTCCCATCCTTCCGTGCACGCGGCTAGCAGAGCTACAAGCAGCTTAGACCAGAGGCACAGCCTTTCCACTGACAGATGAGAAAACTTAGGGGCAGAGCGCAGTAACCCGGCCAGGGTTTGCAGCCGCGAAAGGTTTGTGGCTGAGCTCGATTTAGCCGCCCGGGAGTTGCCACTTCGTTGCCTGGCAACCCGCTCGCCCCAGCCCAGCGCCGGCCCGGGTCCCAGCCCTGCCGCCTCTCTCCTCTCTTGTACTTGCTCTAGCTAGCTCGCTCTCTCCCCCTCCCCCGCGCGGACGGCTCCACGCGGACCCGAGGCTCAAAGTTGGAGCTGGGTGGGTGGGTGAAGGACAAACACGATGGCCAGGAGCAGTGAGCGAGGGAACTGGACGGATTACCCCAGGCCGGCTGCGACCTGACCCCAAAGAAGGGCAAACCGTGCCCGGGCAGTGGCTGGCGCGCACCTTCCTATCCTCGCCCTGTGTGTGAGTGTGTGTGTGTGTGAGTGTGTGTGTGTGTGTGTGTGTGTGTGTGTGTGTGTGTTGGGGGCGGGGGCCCTCCCACTGCAGCTACCGCCCCTTCGCACCCTAGCCCGCGGGCGCTCTGAGCACAGCCTGCCGCCGAGTTTGCAAAGTTCTCCACTGCTGGCGGGGTCCCTGAAGATGGCAGTGGGGAAGCGGCACTGGGAACGTTCGGGGGACACTAGGAGGCGGTTGGCAGGAGACAGTGAGCGTGCTGGGGAGCCCGCTCCTTTCCCCGAGGGCCACGCTCAGTGCCAAGCTAATACAGCTGGGCAAAGAGTGCCAGGGGCGCGGGGCGTCAGGCACGAGGAAGCGCCCGAGGCTGCCGCGCGCAGCCTGGGGCGGCGTCGGGAGCACGGGAGCACCCACCGCCCCGCAGGTGGCGGGCCCAGCAGCCCGCCGGGGCCCTCAGCCCCAGGCTGGCCCCGCGCGCGCGCCTCGACCTTTTACATCCCCCTCCCCTTGCACCGCACCCCCCTCCCCCGGGCCCAGGACACTAGAAAGGGGAGAGCCCATTCTCGAGGCTGGACTGTCCCCAAGCCTTACCCAGGTTCACAAAGCTCATGACCATGTCGGCGTCGTTGAGGAAGGCGCTGTCCTGCGCGCTGGTCAGGGGCGACGCGCCGCCAGGTCCCGCGGCCAGGAAGCCCTTGCGGGGGAGGCGGTGCGCGGCGGCTCCCGGCAGCGACTGCCCGGGCTGAGCCGAGCCGGCCCCTCCGCGGGGTCCCGGCTGCTGCCTCGCCGCGTCCGACGGCCAGTCCTCGTCGTCGGCGGCCGACAGGGCGTTGTACAGATCCAGCATGAAGAGGGGCGCGGACTTGAGCCTCCCCGGCGGGGGCTCCCCGGCAGGCGGCTGCTGCTGCGGGAGCGCGGGGGGCTGCGGCTGCTGGAGGCCGTGCAGGGGCCGCGGCCGGTGCGGGAGCCCCAGCACCGACAGGATCTCCTTCTGCATCTCCCGCTTCTCGTGCGTCTTGAGGCGCCGGTAGAGGAAGCCCGAGGAGGAGTGCGGCGGCTCAGGGCGGCCGGGGCTCGCGCCGTCCCCGGGCAGCTGGCTCCCGGCGGCGGCGGGCAGGGCCGGCCGGAGCGGCGGGGGCCCGCAGCAGCTGCACAGCAGCCCCCACCACCAGCACAGCCACTGCGCCCTCCGCCCCAGCCCCGGCATCCCCGCCGGCCCGACTGCCTCTGCGGCCCCCGCGAGGCGTGCAGCGACCGAGCGCGGCTGGAGTGCGGCCGCGGTGGCCCTCGGCGTGAGCAGCCCCCGCCACGCTCGGCGAGCTCGCGTCCCCCTGCCCGGCCCTCAGTCCTTAGCTCTCATGGTCACCGGGGGCGCCCCCGTTACCCGGGCTGCAGGGGGAGGACCGCGGGGCGCCGCCCTCGCCAGGCTTAGGGGCGCGCGGTGCAGCCCAGGTGCGTCCGCGCCGAGGTTGCGCTCGCTGCGCCGGGCGCCTGGCCCCGGGCAGGTCTCCGCGCGGGCGCTCGCCGCCGGCGCACGTGGGGCTCCACGGGGCGCGAGGCGGCTCAGGCGCGGAAGGCGAGCGCGGGCGGCATCGCCCTGCGCCCCGGCCCGGCTGTCCGCACGCCCGCTCGGGCCGACCCCGCGGCAGGGCCCGGGCAGCGGCGACCGCGGCTCCCGAGGGGCCGGGATCCCCCGCTCGCCAACTCCGTGCCTCTCGCTCTCGGGCACCGTGGCTCCCACCGCCCCGAAGCGCCGCGCTGCTCCCCAGGCGGAGGCGGCCCGGCTGGCCGTCCGTTCGGCGGCGGCGGGGACGGAGGCAGGCAGCGGCGTCCGCGCTGCGCTCCGGTCGGCGGGCTCCCGCGTCCGCGCTGCGCTCCGGGCGGCGCCCAGGGCCCGGGTCTGCGGCGCGGCCAGCTCAGGTACTGCGCCCGGCCCGGCACGCCCCGCCGCCGTAACCGACAGGCCCGCGGCCAATGGAAAGGCGACTCCCGCGCGCTCCTTAAGCAGACCCGCCCCCCGCGTGCACCCTCCCCGGAGAGGCGTGGCGGCCGCCGCGCGTGGGTTTCAAGCCCTCGGAGGTTCTAGCAGGCATCGGAGGAGCGAGGTTCCCAAGGCGAAAGCAATGCTCCGGGCGGCCCCTTGAACCTCCCGGTCCCTTAGGAGGTCTAAGCTGCTGCTTCCACTGAAACATCTGACCAGATTCGGGTCTCTGCCGTTTGCAAATGCGTCAGCAAGCACGCCCGGGTCACCTGTGGATCCTAGCTGCGGCGCTAAGCTCCTTGTCCTGTTGGAAGGTGTACGGGTCAGGCAGCAGAACCGTAACTAGCTGCCTTGGCCAAGTGCAGGTGGTCGAAAGCCCTGAGGAGTGAGACGCGACAGAAGCTGCTGAGATTCACGGATATATGAGATTGGGGAGGGGGGGGTCACCTCCCTCAAGCTGACGCTCCCAGCCACCAGCACAGCCGTGTAGGCCGTCCTTCATCAAGTCCCCCCACGGCTCGGCCTGGCAGCCTGCATGGGCATGTTCTGTGTACAAACTCGCCGTGGTGCACACGGCGGCCCAGAGTTGTCCTGGAAGGAGCCTGTACCGGTCTCCCGCCTAGGGCTCTCCCTCCTCAAACCTGCTCACACCTCCCCCTTAGACTTCCGATAAGACACGCATTGCAAAAAGCCCCAGCATACCTGAGCGGGGAAGACAGCCCTGGGACACAGAATCTGGAGCAGGGACAAGGCACCTTGGGCGGGCTACGCCATTGAAGAGGAAACCCGGGCTGTGAGCCACCTACTGGGCCAGCATTTCTGGGATGGTTCTGAGTGGGGGACACATTTGCATACAAAGCTGCCAGTTCCTTGTACAGATAACTGCTTAGAAGTAGACACGCCTGTGGCATTGGGATCAATGATGCTATGGAGCTAGTTGAATCAGACATCAAAAGTGCTGGGATAAGGACAATGACAGGAATGTGGCCTCTAGGTGACACCACCACAGCGAGCAGACCTCTTCCTGAAGGGCCAAACGAAGGCTGAAAAAAGCGAGATGAGAGGTGAGGATGCTCCCAGCGACGGGAACAATCAGTCCGGGGCGCGGAAGAGCGCAGTACCCCCTGCACACCACGAAACACGCAGGCAAAGCCCTGGATCCTTTGAGGCCCAAGGGCTTAGGTAAAGGTCCAAGTGAGAGGCTCCAGCAACATCAGAATGGAGGGAATCACTGCTCCAAGCAGTCGGAACTCGGCCCCCTGCCTCTGTGGCTCCCCCGCGCCTCTCCTCTGCGTCTCTGAGCTGGTCAGAGTCCACACGGGCAGGGCAGACTTGAAGGGAGAGCAGCAGGGCTGCGGGAGGACGTCTGTAACCAACGTGAGCGAAGCAGAAGAAGCTTCGCCCTCTGCAGGACGTCGGGAGATTACCGCAGCCCCTGCCCTGGCACGCGCTGGACAGGGCTCAGCAGGTCCCCTCTCCGCGGCGGTACACATCTGGTGCGAAGAGGAGGGACTCGATGCAGAGGCCAGTGGGTATCGGACATCTGGCTGCTTGGCGAATGTCTGCTGCAGACGGCCTCCAGTATCTGCAAGCAGTTGCCTGCCCCACTGCTGCCCCGCTTCAGGCTAACACGCAGGCTTCACCCCCACGCCTCGGGACACAGCCGGGAGCAGGACTCCTGACCCACGTGGCTTTGAAAACGCTGCATCTTTTGCACCGCAGGTTCCTGAAAGCTTCCGTTGTCCGTGTTCCTTACTGATTCCTGAGGGTTGTGCTATACCGGTCAGTTTGACCACATAATTGCCACTTTGTAAATATGCTGTTTATCTATTCACCATTCTATACCCTATCCTTCCCTGTGAATCATAGACTGTAACTGCCATCTTTCATCTTATATGAAATCAGAATTGATCTCACTCACCAGCCTTTCCTGAAGATGTCAGTCATGAATTACAGAAATAATGTAAAACCTTACCAACTGCGAGACTGTGGTGTTTAAGCCTGGGAACTAGCTCCCTGGATCCTAAAAACACCACACCTATTTATCTTCATGATTAGCATAAAGATGGGAGTATCTTTAATACTAATTTTAAAATATGATCTCAAATCTAAAAAATCATGTATTTGGACTGTAGAGGGGAAGTTAATACTCACGGAGTGGGAGAAATGGAAAGCTGAGTTAAAGCTCCGCTCTGAAAGCTTCCCCTGTGAGGCACAGGGTCGGCTTTTCACTCACCCACACTCCCTTCCCTGTGTGTTCAAAAACGCTGGGCATTCACACTTCAAAATACCACCCAGGCCATCATAGTTTCCTACTCGTGAAGGACATCTGGTGGCAAAATGAAAAACTAAGACATAAATCTGTTTTCAGAGATTTTTTTTTCCAGACTGTAACCCAAATAGCAAATCTGTTACTTGTGTGTGTTTCAAGCTTTGGCACAACCTTGGGTTTTTTTTTTTAAAGAATCTTAGCCTGTATGCTGTCTACATAATATCATGCAATGGATATTGTGAGACATCCAGAGAAATTGTTTGCAATTTTCTTCATGGGAGCGTTGACATGTGCAGATGAAGTCTTCAATTATCTTTTTCTTTCCCACTGGGCAAAGCATATTTCTGTGTCGACAGAGAGGTTATCTGGAAGAGAATTTCAGAGTGCAGCCAATCCCCTTACCTGGTAGGACCATAGCCAGGGACCTATGGTAAACAACAGTGATGTCAAAATCAAGAAGGATCGAGAGCCATGGGCAACTTATAAAGGTGAGGTTAATGAATCATCCACTTCTGCATTCATTCACACACCCAGGCATCCATTCGGCCTATAGTTGAATGCCATTATGTGTGGAGTAGTGTTGTAAACTTTGGGGTCTCCCACCACCAGAGACCATCGTCCTCCCACTTTTGTCATGGGAGTGAAAATGGCAACCGTGAGGATGCTTAAGAACGGAAGAGCTCAAATACATATGATAAACTAGACATAGATCTCAAAACACTTTACACCAAAATAAACTCTTTCAAGTCCATTTGCCATGAGCTTTTGGAAGCTGGTTGTGTAGTCCGAGAGGGACTCATGCTCTCTGGCGGGAGCAGCCCCAGGCCAGTGATCCCTGGAAGCTGAGCACACACTCCAGTGACTATGGCAGCTGGCATCCTGCATGCAGCCTTGTGGGAAAGCAGCCTACTTCACCGCTGAGCTGCACACCTGTTCACGAGAAGTAGGTGTTCGGTGAGGCTGCTGTGTTGTGCCATTTTGTGCCCACAGCAGGACCTTCATTCGTAGACAGAGAGAAGGCAGAGAGGGGGTAGGCAGCATACCAGTGAAGACGTGAGAGAGTGAGTGGAACCAGCCCTAAGGACATCTGCAGTAAAAGCTTTCCAGGCATCAGAAACAGTCCATGCAAAGGCCCATGGTAGAGGCATTTCTGGCAAGCCTGGCACGAAGGCCAAGGAGACAGGTGACATGAGCTGAGATTATGGTAAGAAACTGTCCATGAGCTCAGGAACACGGGCACAAGGCTCACTGTGGCTAAGGGCCCTGGTGGGATGGCACAGGGCTCACTGTGGCCAAGGGCCCAGGATGCCCTGGTGGGATGGCACAGGGCTCACTGTGGCTAAGGGCCCTGGTGGGATGGCACAGGGCTCACTGTGGCCAAGGGCCCAGGATGCCCTGGTGAGATGGCACAGGGCTCACTGTGGCTAAGGGCCCAGGATGCCCTGGTGGGATGGCACAGCCTGAACAGTAACTTCACCAGCATCACCTTGAAGGAAAAAAACCAGATCAGATTAAAAAATAATAAGACTGCAAGTCCATTCATACAGAATTCAGAGATCAAAAGCCAGTCTAGACTTCAGCTTAGTGGGTCCCTCAAGAATGGAGAGTACAAATAATGACTGAGTGGAACCAAAGAGGATTCCTAAGAGTTGGTCCATGTCCTTATGCTGGTGCAAATTGTACCGGTGGGATCAACTTAATAGCTCAGTGATGGAGCCAACACTGTGGTGCACCAACAGCTGTAGCGCCAGAATTCCTTGTGAGTACTGGTTTGCGTTCTGGCTGCTCCACTTCTAATCAGGCTCCCTGCTAATGACATGGGAGAGCAGCAGATGATGGCCCAAGGGCTTCAGCCCCTGCCACCTACTTGGGAAACCAGAATGGAGTTCCAGGCTCTTGGCTTCAGCCTGGCCCAGGCACAGCCATTGCGGCCATTTGGGAGTGAACCAGCATGAAAGATCTCTGCCTCTCCCTCCTTCACTCTAATTGTGCCTTGCAAATAAATCAGCATTTAATAATAATGCAGTTTACATATTTACATATTTTCTGTACACTGTGTCATGATAAAAAAAATTTGATTAAAAAGCAATGAAGTGAAGGAAAAACAACAGAGTGTGAGATGAAAAGGTCCTCAGCTGGGTGAGAGCAGAGCCCAGGTTGGAG